GACATGTTAGGGTTCTTTGGAGATGTAATGTTCCAACAAGCCTGCTTGATCAATTACCAAAGAAGAATGCCAAAATTATTCAGCAAAATAAGATTTTCTTATCAAAGTGATACAATTTTGTTTAAGTTTTCATTTAGTGATGAGTGAATTTTTGCTAGAAAAAGAGCTGGAGAAATAACATGCAAGTGTCTCAGAGCCGGCAAAAGCTATGAAAAGAGTGACACTTTATCTCACAGAGTATGACGCAGCATGCAGAAGTGACATGCATGGTTGTTGTCACCACTAGAATTACCTACCTACCGTAGCCAAAGCACAATAAAGTCTTTTAACCTCTGAGGGCCCATATTTACAAAATAGAGACTTCTGGGAATCCATACTCTGGTCTCAAGAGACCATGTCAATCATTTCGGATCCAAAAGCATCCAAAATGTTCTGGTGTTGCTAGAGGATGAGTACAGAGAGAAGTGCTTGGTACCCACAGTGACGTTCGGTGGTAGTAAAGCTCTTCTATAGGGATGTATGAGTGCTGAAGGTGTGAGGGAGTTGTGCTTTATCAATGCTGGCATGAATTCACACACTACTTTTTTTCAGCATGACAATGAATATATTCATTCTCCCAAGATGAAAATCCTTCAGTGGACATGTATTTCACATGTATTTCATCTTAACGCTCTTGAGCAGCTGTGGGGGATTCTGTAGAGACCAGCTGAGCAAAACTCCCCATTAAAGACCAGAGCATTTAAGGAGGTCATCCACCAGGAGTTAAACAGCACAGATGTGAAAATTTGTCATGAACTTGTACACTCAGTGCCAAGACGTGTCAGAGCAGTGTACTTTAAGTTCTGGAGGACATACTAAATACTAGTATATTATACATTTTCTGAATTAAATCTCGGGTGTACTAATTTCTGCAATCCTTAATTTAAACAAAATTGGCTAATTGACTTATCTTACAGAAAATATTGGCATATATTTTGTTGTTTTTACGTCTTGGTACCGAAATACCGGGTCTTTTGACAACACTACTACTTCAGTCTGTGTGCATTGAATTTATTTAATACACGAGTTTCACAATTTGAGTTGAATTACTGAAATAAATGAACTTTTCCACGACATTCTTTATTGAGATGCACCTGTATACATATATATACATATACAAATATATACATATACATACATATATATATATATATATATATATATATATATAGTGTTGCTTTAAAGTTTGTGAACCCTTCAGAATTTTCATCAGATCATAAACAAAATAAATAAATAAATAAATAAAAAATCATCAGATTTTCACTCAAGTCCTGAAAGTTTACAAAGACCAAATCCAATCAAACAAATGAGACAAAAATATATACTTTGTCATTTATTTATTGAGAAAAATGATCCAGTGGTACATATCTGTCTGATGATCTTTTGGTTCACATTTATGCAGAAGTATAGAGAACACTGCCCTTTTTTGTCTCCATTTGTTTATTTTAAAAAATACACTACTTTTCAAAAAGAAAAATGTAAGATTAAAAAGTAAGATTAATATTAAAGAAATTAATACTTTTATTCAGTAAGGACATTAAATTGATCAAACGTGACAAAAGACATTTAGTAAAGACATTTTTTAAATAATAAAAGATTTTTATTTCAAATAAATACTGTTCTTTAGAACTTCCTAAAAAAAATGTATCATGGTTTCCACAAAGATATTAAGCAGCACAATATTCAACATTGATAATAATAATAATAAGAAATGTTTCTTGAGCAGCAAATCAGTATCTTAGATTGATTTCTGAAGGACCATGTGACGCTGAAAACTGGAGTAATGACGCTGAAAATTCAGATTATATTTATAGAACATTTATATTTATAGAATAAATTACATTTTATAAAATGTAAAACCATTATTTATAACAGTTATATAACAAAAGTGCATTACCACTTAATAAATGTGCCAAATCAAAGTCATGTGGTGAAACCAATATGCAAGAAAAATAACCATAAAACAGGAAATGATATCATAGAGGGGACACTTGTAAACCCTCATGACTGTAATTTGCCATTCTTTTTATGGGTGGTTTAAGTTGTACACCATCATGTGGTGAGACTTCCAAAAAAGAATGTGCAATATTTATGAAATATTAATTTGATATTAGTAATATATATATATATATATATATAAATAAATATACTCTATACCTTAAAATATTTTAAAAAATTTTCTGAAATAAATGACGTTCACTCACAAGTATTCAAGAAAAACATGATACTTTTACACTTTTAGAGTCATTATGTCTAATCTTCTCTTGAAAATTCATCTTCTCTTGAAAGTTTTTCAAAACCACGTGAAACCACCATGAACACAAGAACTACATTTCTAAAAACTAAGAAAGATTTTCACATGAAGCCTTACCTGCCAACCCAGAGCCCCGAGTATGATGGTGGACATCAGGCTGAAGATCACCAGGCGTTTTGATATGAGACAGAAGTGCCGCATCCCCTTAGACGCCATTACCCTGTCCAGCTCTCCAGCTTCTGATGTGTGCACCATACACATCCTCTGACAGTCACTCAGCTTGCTGTGAAAACCCCACAGCGTGATGAGAAAAACCAGGTGGCAGATGATCCAGAAAACAGCAGATCCTGAAAGACCCGGAATGAGCAGGTACCACCGATCCAGATCTCTCATCTTCAGAGCGGCTACTACCAAAAACATCACCTCCATGACCACCAGAGGAAGAAGCATCAAACGCCTCCACAGGCCTCCTCTCAGTAGGAGCGGCGACCAGCGTTCGGTGACCGAAAGTCCGCTGAAGTAAACGTCCAGGAATGGGTCGCAGACGAGGCGGCTGAAGAAGCAAGACAAGGCGAAGGGGTTGGTGGACACTCCTAAAGACTCCTGGAAGAAGAACGCAGCCACAAACGAGAAGCAGACCAGGTTTGGGATCGCCAAGAAGGACTTCATGCGCAAATCCACAATTAGAGCGGCCAAAGCCAGTGTCAGGACCCCAAGGCTTATGGATTTTTGGCTGACAAGGGTTGTGCTGGCCACAGCAAAGCCTGTGAGCTCCAAAGCTTCCCTTGAAGTGAGGAAAGTGGGTTGAAGTCGGGTATAACCGCACATTCTTCCAACCAAAGCCCATAGGATTCGTATCACAATGCTTGCTATTAACATACAGTTGGCCACCTGCTCCTTAACATCGAGCTCTTTGGACGGGACGTTGACGAAGCACAGCAAACCCAGAAGGAAACCAAACCACAGATGCAGCAGAAAGAGGCTGATGTTCTCCATGCCGAAGTAATAATGGAGAATGCAGGCAATCCCAAGAACAAAGAGGCCCAAAATGAAAATGACCAAGATGATTGTGTCGGCGGTTTTCTCCCATTGTATGTAAATTCCCAGGCAAATGGCCACCAGGATGTTCAGGCTGGACAGGTAACCGAGGTACCGAATGAACGACCACATGTTGACCCCTTTGTTGGCTTCGTCTAGCCGGGTCATAGCAGCGTAAAGGAAGTGGCTCAAGCAATACTTGAGCAGCTTGCACATCGTTGCAGTGTAAAAACTCGCACAACAGCAGAAAAAACTTGTAATTTATAATAAGTCACAACAGGAACAATTATTCGCGACATAACTATTCAGCAAAAAGGATGTAAGAACTGCATGTTGTAGGGTGAATTTGAGGTCAATCTAAAACTAAACTGTTTCTAGAGACATTAGTGCAAACGTTAGAGTAACATCTACAATGAATCAGTGGATTGTCAATATCCACCTGTTACTGCTGAATGAACCAAACTGTTCAACTCAAGGTCATGTTATAGTGACTGAAACTAAGTCGTGAGCTAGATGTGCAAATGTTAAACTCGTCGGAAGTTATTAAACAAGAGTAAATATGAGAGCTGAAGAGTTTTAATGTGCTGTCAGTCTGGGTTAGTCGAGCAGATTCCAGTGCGTTTACCGGCGGCATCCGAAAGTTGATAGAATGTGTTGTTTCTGTTCACGACGAGAGTAACATCGATTAAATCAAGCAAAAATAAATACGCCAGTAGATATACAAGTCAACGATTGTTGTCGTTTACAGAAAAATTACTAAAACTTGACATTTATCGCACAATATTCCGAACCATCGCCTAAACTTCGCTCAATGTCCGCCATGTTTGCACATTGGTATTAAGCCGCTACGGAATCCCTGAAAGGACAAACAGCGTCCATCACCGGCTCAGTGAAACGGGGGTGAATGAAATCAAATGTTTTATTTATCACTGATATATGTGGCAAAAAAAAAAATGCTTTTACAAAATTAAAAATACTGGAAAATTGGTACACTGGTATCATTTTTGTTTTGTTTATATAAAGTTTATGTAAGCTATAAGATGTTATGTTTTTGAAATGTCTTACTCTTACCAAGGCAGCATTTATTTGATTAAACATACAGGAAAAACAGTAATATTGTGAAATTACGATTTAAAATAGCTGCTTGCAATTTTAATATATTTTAAAATGTAATTCATTCCTGTGATGCCAAGCTGAATTTTCAGCATCATTACTCCAGTCTTCAGTGTCACGTGATCATTCAACAATTACTTTAATATTAATTTACTATTAGTATACCGATTTGCTGCTCAGGAAAAAATTCTTATCAATGTTAATGCAGTAAAATATTTGTGCTGCATAATATTTTGTGGAAACCTTGATACATTTTTTCAAGATTCTTTGATGAATAAGTTTTTAAAGAACATCATTTATTTGAAACCAAATTCTAACATTATAATCCATTATATTAACAATCTTTACTGTCACCTTTGATCAATTTAACGCATCCTTGCTGAATGAAAAAATCTTACCGACCCCAAACTTTTCTACAGTACTGTAGCTTACTACAATAGATATAGCCTATTTAAAATGTAAAACGTTTAAAATGTACTGTCACATATGAAATGCATATATGAATAGCTGTCAAGTATTTAAAGCAACCTGCTATAGGCAAATTAAAGACCAGAGAGAAGTCAACAAAACCTTTATTTATAAAAGATGAATAACAATATTCATCACAAATAGTCTGGTTTTGTGGGAGTCAACCATCATAACACTGATAAAGAAAATCAATCATGCAAACAGTGGATTAGAGCCCGGTGAAGACAAAGACATTTGATATGTGAATGTTTGAACACACCACCAAGTAAAAATATAATACAAAGCTTTTTTTTTCTTTTTTAAATGGTTTTAAAACATCTTTGTTGTCAGATTTATAAATCGAGTACGGACTAAAGAATGCCTTTAAATACTATTGCTAATAGGGCAGTATTTTAGTACATTTTTTCCAAGAGCTGGTTAATTTGCTGAAAGTATGTATGTTTATTGTGGGAGAGAAATTATCACTTCCTAATGACAATCAGTAGCCTGTTCTTGAATCCAGTCTATAAAATCACAAATGCAAAAATACAATTTGGGTTTGAAGGCACCTTGAGGAGGATTTTTTTTCTGATACCCTGAAAGATCACATACTGAATTCTATAACCATTTCAAAACTTTCCACACTTTTTGGCAACCCTACAACACATTTAAAGTGCCTAACACCAAAACCTCACATATATACTTCAACAGAACCCCAATGCACATCTCACACACTCCTTCAAGAGTAAAGACCCATCACAGCATATTCTCATGTCATCAGGTTTACCAAACGATAACTACATGAATTCAATAGAAAACAGTGCCTAATATCAGTCACTCAATTTAACTGCCAGGTTACAGTGATATGGGGAATTTTTGACTGTTTATGATTATGAATGTATTGCTATTCTAATGAAATGCTGATGCCAATATCAATATTTTGTCAACCCACAAGGAGGGTATTATTGAAAACATGCAAATATGTGCTTGGACAGTCAAAATAGTGTTTTTAAGAACCTGGAGTGGATAAAAAAAATAGCAAATTCTGCAGTTACATACACAGGAGCTAAAAACGTACAGTGATACGCAACAATCTTTTTGTAGTACTTGAAATCAATATCTGGCAGAGTACTTTCCAAACATTTGTACCTTAAAAGTTATATTCAGTAATTTAGTAACTAAAATAATGTACTGAAACTTAATGGGATATACACCAGATAACGATACAGGAAGTAGATTTAGAGCAACCAAAGGTTTCGAGAGTAAACAATCATCCTACTCAATAAAGTCACATTATGGCGAAACGCAGAGAACTCTAACCTGTTCCATACTACATATTACTGACAAGTAATTGGAAATTACTGGTTACATTAGTGCTTAAAACGAAAACGAAGGCAGACACGCAGCTAATTTCAGGCCGTTTGATCGCAAGGTTAGAAACCACAACGCATGCACCCAATATGGTCACCTGCAAGATTGTTTGTTCTAAAAAACTATGACTACTTCGCATGATTTGTACCTTGTTGAAGCGAAAAATCCACATTCACAGTTACAACGTCACATAACCAAACACGCACAAATTCTGCAGACACTTAAAATGCTACAAATATCATTGATAAAGGCTATTCCAAAAAGTCGGTAGCACAGATGGCTGAAATTGACATCTAAAACGTCCAGTGAAAACTTGCTAAGAATCAAACCATTAATTGGATAGTTCACGCAAAAATTGAAAATTTTGTCATAATTTTCTCACCACCATGTTCCAAAACTGTATGAATTTTTTTTATTTCAATGTTAACTGTTTTTGATCTTACAACACTGTTTTGGACCCCATTTACTTTCATTGTAACTTTCATTTCAATGTAACTTTCAGTAAAAATGTGAAAATGTATGCATTTCAGAGAAGGCAGAATTCATACAGGTTTGAAATGACATGAGGATGGGTAAATGATGACAATGTTCATTTTTGGCTGAACTCCTTTTTTGGAATTCAGCGGAAAAAGTCCAAAACAGCATGGTAACTCCAACCAAAAGTTTGGACTTTTTGTCACCGACAATAACTACGCCTAAGGTATAAGTTATTCTAGTTTGAAACGGTTTATCCAGTTGACAGTAATTCTAAATGAGAAAACAGCCAAAGTGAGTGAGCAAAATCTTCCTCGACCTGAAATCACATAACTGCTTCTGTTACAAAACCTCACTTTCTTAATTAAGACTTAATCTGTTTAGTGTGTACATGTCTTCAAAGGGATGTCTTGCACACTCTTAAAAATCAACGCCCACTTAAACGTCCTCATTCACTCTGTGCAAACGGTTTGCTGCTTAAAAAGGGGTCGAGTACACAAATGCAGCACAGCAATTTTGGCAGCACGAAGGTAGGGTACTAAATATCACAAGGGGCAGTAAACAAGTTCAGCTCTGCAGCAAAATAGGGTCTTCCAGCTCGTGGAAGGGAGCTGAGCTGCTCTGGCTCTCGCCCGAGTCCGAATCGTACGGTGTGTCTGGCAATTCCGCAAAGCTACACGCCAACTGGTCGTCCTCGAAATCGGAGCGTGGAGGCTCGTAGCAATCTGCGAATCCGTCCTCGTCGAACGTGTTAAAGTCCTGTGGGATGTAAAGCATCTCCGGGTAGTTGCGGCTGACCAGGTCGCTGATGGTGGTGAGCGACACCTTGCGGAAAGCAATCAGGTGCATGTGGGAGAACTTGACGTACTTGTAGCGCTTGAAGCCCAGAGACTCCACTGCAACTCGCCAGCTGCGCATCATAAGTGTGTGCCGGCCCTGGTGGGAGGAGTCAGGGGTGATGATGAGGAGCAGGCCGTTCAGGGTCAGGAGTTCATGTGCTTTCTTGCAGCAGAGCCAGCGCTGGTAGGGTGAGGGGAAGTAGGAGAGAAGCAGGGAGAACACTACCACGTGAAACAGCTGGGCAGGTAAAGCGTCAATGGGGCCACGCAGCTGCCGCAGGAAGGCATCCAAAGCATCGCTGGCCAGCTGCAGAGGTTGCTGCAGCTGCAGGTTGAGAAAGTCGCATTTGTAGACGCTCTGTAGCCATAAAGAAGAACAAAAAAATCAGAACATTTAGCTTTACTCAGCAGGACAGGTAAAATTAGTACACGGGTCAAAGACAGTGTCCAAGATAAAGGATATAAATGTTTATATTTTTTCTTAGAGATATACTCTTTGTATTTATACTGGTTTTGAAAAATGTTTATAGCATTAATAATGACATAAAACAAAATTTTATGTGGTGTATCCATTATACTACTATTCAAAAGGTTTTTTTTATAAAGATGCATTCAATTGATCAAAAGTGACATTAAAACCCTTTATAATATTTAACAAAGACATTTCTAATATTTAAAATAAATGTTTTTTTTTTACTTTCTATTCTAGTGAATGCATTATGGTTTCCACAAAAATATTAAGCAGCACAACTGTTTTCTGATGACAGAATTTTTATTTTTTGATGAAGTGTCCCTTTAACTTCAAAAAAACATTATATTAATATGTTATATGTTATATAATATGTTATATATATTATATTAATATATAATTAAATTAATACACAATTTTAAGGAAAATGTTTTCAACATTGATAAGAAGAAATGTTTCTTTGCATATTAAAATGATTTAAGGATCGTGTCACATTGAGGACTGGACTGAACTTCTGAAAACATTACATAAATTAAAAAACAAAATAAAACTATTTTAAGGAAACTGCTTTCAATACTGATAAGAAGCACTGTTTCTTGCGTATTAAAATTATTTTTTGAAGGATCATGTGACATTGAGGAGTAGAGTAATGACTGCTGAAAATTCAGCTTTGCCATCACAAAACAAAAAATTACATTACCTTAGTGAGCGTTTTTTACGTTAATGCCCAAAAACATCAAAATGAAGTGTATTCAATCCAAATATGTATGAACTGCATTTTTAATGTCTATTTGAATAAATTAATAGATCCAGACAAAGAAAACAACATAATTATCCAAAAACAAACTTTAGTCAGAGTATATGACATATTTAATTTGATGGGAAAACAACTGTGAGGAACAGAAGTAACATCCATTTAATAGTTCCATTCAATGAAATCACGAAGAATATAGTATCATATAACGTTAAGGAACACAAACCTCTACTGCTGGCACAATGTCGATACCGACAGTCAGAAACTCGTCAAACTTCAGGAAGGGATTGAAACAGCTGCCCACATCCAACAGCCGTATCCTCCCAAGCTGGAACGCTGAGCTGTTACGAAGCAAGAATAAAAAGCTGATTTAGTCAATGAACTCATTGCTATCTGGAATTTTGTGGATATGCAGTGTTAAAGGTATCATTCTAGCGCACCTTGAAGAGGACGATTGTGGTAGAGAGTTTGCAGATGCGTTATTCCCAGCTGCGGCGTGTCTAGCACTCTTCTCATCCTTCTCCAACACTCGCCTCATCCCTCCATCCTGGAAGTACTCCTGACAAACACTGCGGCAAGACAAATGTAACATCAATAAGTACCAAATCTGCTTCTCAACATAAAATACTGACCATTAGCAATCATACCTGCGGCACCACTCAATGCGCCCCTCACCCTCACATTTATTCGCCCAGTGGTTGTCAGCCAAGTTCTTCATGGCCATGGCATATTCGCTGAGAGTCTGCTCGTCTTCACAATGTTCACGCCATATTTTCTCGAAATCTCCCACTACAGCCAAAAAGACAAAACAGAGGAGCGTACAGTCATGATTGATCATTCTACACCACATAACTAGTGAACATTTCCACAAAGCCTACTTTCAGAAGTCAGCTGATGTTGTGCTTCCTCTAAATTTTGATTCTGAAACCGCTGCGTCCAACGGCTCACAAAACACCATACGACTTCTTCAGCAACTCAGTAAAACTCCATCGCCAGGCTCAAAAGCACTGTATCATCGAAGTGTTTGTGCTGATTCACACAGTTTAAAAACTTGCTGATAAAGCCGATGACACCAGAAGGCAACCAGAGTGCTTGGGAGGGCAAGAACTGACAAAAAGTGATCCGTCCCATGGCACAATGGAAAATACAGGCCTTATCAGATTTACAGTGAATAAGACAAGATGGGAAGAGACTGCAGCGCCGTTATATATGAATGCTGTTGTACAATGCCAAGAAGACCAGATCACGCCTTCCTTATTAACCCATCACGGGGTCTAGTGAATAGACTACTGTGTGTGGGATTTATAACGCTGCCCGTCCCTCTCGGGGGAAGATTCGATAAAGCTATAGTCTGAACCATGAGAAACTCAACAACACAGTTAAAGTCAGTACAAACATGGTGGTACTTTATATTAGGTTCTGCTTCCTGTGGGTAGAACTAATTGCAGGCAAAAATATAACATTTCAAAATCTCTGTCATGATATCAGTCTTGGATGATGCTCACTGCAGTGCAAAATTGTAACAGGAAACGTAACAACATCCTCGCAGTAATTTACTTCTATCAATAAAAAGACTATTTGACTTACATGTCTCAAGATAATATTTTTTATATTCTTTTTAAAAAATGTGCACGCGTAGGTTTTTAGAAACTTGTCATGATCAGACAACATAGTAAGAGACACTTTTCACAAATTGGGCACAAAATATGGCCTGAAAGATGGCTTTTGTTTTTACGTTTTTTTAAAGGGATAGTTCACCCAAAAATGTCAATGTCATTCCAAACCTATATCTGTGACTTTCTTTCTTCTGTAGAACATAAAAGAAGATATTTTGAGAAATGTCTGCATGATTTGATGACAATTTTCATTTTTGGGTAAAGGGTCCATTTAACTTCATAAAACATGTAAATGTGACAACAGGAAATATATATTGTATTCATTTTGTTATGTGTGTTTGTGTGTAGGCATGGGCCGGTATGAGATTTTGACGGTATGATAACCTTAAGCAAAAATATCACGGTTTCACGGTATTGTCGTTACAGCTCTAAAATGTTATTTTTAAATGTCTGGGTTAAAAAAAATTTAAAAAATAAATTTTCACTGAATACAATGTATTTTATTTTTGAGCAACATACAGAATATTTGGAACAGCAGTATTTGTTTATTTTTTCTTTGATTTGTTTCTGAAATGTTTGCTGAATTGTGGGCGGTCTTGCAGCTTTTGATGTGAAAGAGAAAAAAAGTAGAAAAATAAAGACTGACATCTTTATTTAACCTACAGTGCCTTGCGAAAGTATTTTTTTCACATTTTGTTATGTTGCTGCCTTATGTTAAACTGCTTTAAATTACTTTTTTTTCGATCAATCTATACTCCATACACCATAATGGTAAAGCAAAAAACAGGTTTTTAACATCTTTGCAAATTTATTACAAATAAAAAACTTAAATTATTTGGAACAGTTGAAATTTAGCTTAGGAGCATTCATATTGCTTGTAGATGATACTACACTTCGAGTGAAGTTAACCTGTGGCAAATTCAACTGAATGGGTATAATTTGGAAAGGCACACACGTCTTAATAAAAGGTCTAACGGCTGATAATGCATATCAGAGTAAAACTCAAGCACTGAGGTCAAAAGAACTGCCTGCAGAGCTCAGAAACAGGTTTGCGTCACGCCACACATCTGGGGAAGAGTTCAGAAAAAATTCTGCTGCATTGAAGGTTCATAGAAGCATGTAGTCTCTGTTACCCTTAATGGAAGATGTTTGAAACAACCAGGACTCTTCCCAGAGCTGGCCTCCTGGCCAAACTGAGCAATTGATGGAGAAGGGCCTTTTCTAGACTGGTGACCAAGAACCTGATGGTCACTCTAGTTGAGCTCCATGATCATAT